CCAATATAAGAAGACTCGTGGTATTCGTTGACAGATATTCTCCAACACTACGCCACAACTGCATCAAAAGATCCACTGAAAGCTCTCCTTAACCTCAAAGTTCAGTTTCGACCTGCAGCATGTGTTAGTGAATTCTCATGTTTATTCATCGAGCGAGTGGCAATGTTACCTGATATCAGCACTGCTGGCACCAATCAACACTTCAAATTCTCCTTCCTCTGCAATCCAAGCACCCGTCTGCCCAAGACTTGTGTCGAAGTATCCCACAGAGTACTTGTTGAGCTTCAAGACTACGTCTTTCGTTTCGCCAGGCTGCAAGAATACCTTGCCGAAAGCCTGGAGTTCTTTCTCGGGACGTGGGAGTGTCGACTTGACGTCTTTTACGTATGCTTGAACAATCTCATGCGCCGCTACTGAGCCGCTGTTGGTGACTGGTACCGTGATGATGATCTCTCCGTCCTCTTGAAGCACAGTATCGCTAGCGCTTGGTGTTTTGTATTCGAAAGTGGTGTATGTAAGACCGTGTCCAAAGGCAAAGAGTGGTGCGATCTTGGAACGCTCATAATGCCTGTAGCCCACGTAAATCCCCTCGCCATAGACGGTCTTCAAGTTCTCGCCAGGCCAGTTGTGGTACGCAGGATTGTCTTCGATCCGAACAGGGAAAGTCGTTGGCAGTTTTCCACTAGGGCTACTGTTGCCCAGTAGTACATCCGCAAGAGCATTTCCGGCTTCCTGTCCTTGGTACCATGCCTGGAGAATGGCTGGTGCCTTCTGTACCCATGGCATGGTAATAGGTGTTCCGGATTGATTGACGACGACGGTGCGTGGGTTGGCAGCTAGAACAGCTTCGATCAGGCGATCTTGCGAACCGTTCTTCGGAAGATCCATCGTTTGTCTGTCGTAACCCTCTGATTCCCACTCGGCGTCAAGCCCAACAACAACTACAGCGACATCTGCGTCGCGCGCTGCATCAGCAGCTTCTTGCAAACGATCTATCTTGTCCTCCTCTTGGTAGCCAATCCGGCAGCCACCATAGTCGTGGCGACGACCAATGACCGAAACTTTCGATGCAGGCCGTACTTCGTTGGTGCTCTCAATCAGAATTTCCACTGACTTGCCTGCCTCCAGGTGGATTGACTTGAGTACGTCCTCTGAAGCAGAGAACATAGCCTCACCCTCTTGAGTCCAATCCCAGTTGTCAATGAAGATGTCGCCATTGATGAACATGCGCCCTGGTCCAACTGAAGCAAAGCTAAAACTGTGGTTACCGGTCGACTTGGGAGTGAGTGTAGTCTTGACTTTGAAGGAGAAGTCTGGAAGAAGTTCCATTGGCGCAGAATCCCACAGCCACAGATCTGTGCTGACTTTGTGCTGAATGACCGCTGGCTCACCCCTGAATCTGTCGCCCTTGTAGTACTCTAATCGCACACCGGTTTCGCCATTGGATTGGCAGTACGGGGAGGCGAGCGGTAGCCATTTGGAACTGTCGCAACCTTGGGCAAACGTAATGTCGCCGTCGAATCGATTTTGAAGGCCTTGCCAAGGGGTAACGTTGTAGTAGGGATTGAGGCCTGCACTTCCTCCTCCACTGGCGATAGCTCGCTTGACATTCGGCCCGATCATCGCAATCTTCTTCGCGTTCTTGACGGGAAGCACATTGTTCTCGTTCTTCAGAAGCGTCAGTCCTTCAATACCAGCTTGAAGAATAAGGTTCCGTGTCTCAACGTTGTCAATAGACTGCTCTGGCTCTTCGGGTGTCATGTTGTTTAGCCCCTTGACACGATCCACGAGATATAAAACTCTGGCGGCCGATTCTTCAATATCACCACGAGTTAGCTCGCCATTCTCTAAACACTCCTTAACTTGCTCGACTTTGCGCCACTTTGATGGTCCTGGCATCTCAATGTCAACACCAGCTCTTATTGACGGTGCAGTTGCATATGTGCCCGTCCAATCAGAAATGATTGCACCATTCCACTTCCACTCCCCTCGAAGGACCTCCTTGATCGAATGTTCATACTCGTCAGCGTGAACACCATTGATCATGTTGTAAGCACTCATGAGCGCCCATGGTGATGCGTCTCGAACAGCTATCTCGAATGGTTTCAGGTAGATTTCACGCAAAGGCCTCTCAGCAATGATGGCATCGTATGCCTGTCGCTCAGTTTCTTGCTCGTTGCCAAGGAAATGTTTAATCGTAGCGGCGACACCCTTGCTCTGGAGACCGCGAACATAGGACGCAGCAAGCTTTCCGGTAAGGAAAGGATCTTCAGAATACGACTCGAAGTTGCGGCCACCAAGAGGGGATCGGTGCATGCACACCGTGGGTGCAAGCAATACGTGAGCGCCACGTGCCTTCGATTCTTCTCCCAGATGACGGCCGATCTCCTCGATCATATCCACGTTCCACGTGGAAGCCATGGATATGCCGCAAGGAAACAGAGCAGCCTAGCTTTGTCAGCGTGAAACAAGCAGTGCCAAGCCGGAGTGCGTACAGGTGTGCCGTTAGTGAAGAACTCTCCTCGAGCGCCATTGGGCCCGTCAGATGTCTTGATTGATGGTATGCCCTTCTCGGGTATGGCTACTGTCCGCCAGAAGTCCGCTCCTGCAAGTAGTGAGATCTGGAATGGTCAGCTCGACTCAATCCCGAGGCTGCTTCGGCTTTTGAAATAGATTAACGAGGTCAGGTGGGGTCTTAAGCGAATAGAAAAAGCCATTGATTCTGAAAGTCAATCTTCGGAAGCCAATCTCGCTAGGCTTTCTGCCGCAGATGTAATCCAAGTCGGAATGTTGCTGCTGGCGAATGATTTGACTCCTAGAAAGACACCAAAAAAAAAAGACCTTGAAGGAAGCTTGCATGAATTCTCATTGTGCTTGGCCATGTAGAACGCTAAAGTCTCAAGGACCTCTTTCATCAGAGTGAGGGAGAACGTACCTGTTCTTCTAAAGTCAGCTTCGCCGCAAGTTGTCTTGCCCTGTCGTCCGGTCGCTCCATCGAGTATATCTTCTTGCCCGCCATTGTTTCTTCTGCCGGTGAAGCGTCCTCTGGTGTTGCGGCAGGTGTCAATGTTGGCGTATCAAGAGTCACCGGTTGGATGTGGATAGCCGCGTGCTTTATGTCGTACTGTCTGATATCTTCTGTCGGGCTAGCGTTTCCTATGTTGATGGTAGCCATTGCAGATCAACCAGAATTAATCATCCAATACGCGGAGTAGTAGAGCGAATTGCCGCGCTTCTTGCCACTACAACCGACGCGGTAACGAAAGATGGGTTGAAAAAAGACGTAAGCGAGAGAAGGATGACAAGCTCGAGATGCAGCAGACTCAGAGGAAGTCAGTCGAAGTAGATTGTCATCCTTTAGTACTTGCGCAGCGCTGGTAACGATTGTCTCTCTTGACGCATGGACCCAGACAAAGCGCTGGAGTACCGGATCTATTGGAAACAAGCCTTATCCTAGCCACGGCTCGCAGGCACGTCGTCTCAGATCTACAAGGTAAGTGTTATTGGTCGGCGGGGGGTAATCAACCGAAGTTAACGCGCCCGTCTCGATCTGTTGCCAGGAAGGAGGCTCATGTGTGATTTCAATCTAGATCCGTCATGACGGCTCCTTGTGGCGAAACCCGAGAGTAACGCGAAAAGAGTATGATAGCAATGCCTGCTTCTCCACCATGCTGCAGACTATGAGCAGGTAAGAGCCAGACACATCGTGCAAGTACAATGACAAGACAGGTGACACGTAGACCAGACATGCAAGTTGATGCCGCTCAGCGAGACATTCTTTTCTTGGGGTAAGCAGCGTGGGGCCTGATTCGTCGCCTTCTTTGTTGGACAGTAGACACGGCGGACCTGAACTTCCGAGGCTAGTCTAAGTGGCAGTTGAGCAGATTCCGAAGGGCAAATTAGGCAGTCAAAGGATGATACAGAGCAGTTGCATACCAATCAGTGGTGGGAAATTTCGTAGTGAGGTTGTAGCGGCCCGAGAGGCGGGTATGTTAGCGGGAACCCGGGCCAGTGAACCGTCTGCATCCTGGCGTGCATATCACGCTGACCAAGTGTCCTCCGGGGGCCAAGCGACCGTTGATTGTGGTTGATCGAAGGAATCGGACGTTGAGAGCGACTACCAAACCAGAGAGTCGGAATGGAAACGTCTGGATGTTGATGGTTCTTACCCCACCAACGCAGCACGTGCGCAAGATGCTGTGATTGAACTCCAAGCGACCATGATCGTCGCGAAGCCTAGATATCTTGACCGCGCTTTCATATGCGAGTTCGTATTCCGTTAAAGCTTCGAATCTATTCAGAAACCACTGTCAAAGTCGGCTATCGACTCACGCACCGCCTGATAGCCTTCTACCATCACGATATCTGGCACACGACACATGAACGAATTAGTCGGGACATCGTTGGAGGGCCAGCAAATGAAAAGGCACTATAGTAATTTATTGTAATCACTTCACATTTTTACAAGTACCAAAAGCTGGTACTAGCAAGTACTTCGTTGAGATGCAAAGCGCTGTATTCTGTTGGTGTTGAAAAGACCATCTGTGGCAGGTGACTCCGGAAGCGTGATCCGCATCACCTTCCGACTCCTCAGTCGCAGTAATATTGAGCTTCCCTAGATCCGAAATCACATGTAATTTTGCCCTGCGACACGATGAAGGTATCATGGTGTAACAATATAATGGGGCAATGATTTTAGAGCATATTGGCCAGTATACGCGTTATTAGTGATATCCTAGAGGGTACTGGGCCGAGTGTTGAAGCGCATCGATGTATTCAACAAGACTCGTGTAGCGCACTTTGAAGCCTCTTGTATGAGGCAGTAGTGCATAACCAAAACTATCACTTTGATGCTCATGCCGCAATTACAGCATGAACACAAGTGAACAATGACTATACACTGTTGTTCTATATGGTTGCTTATCCATCGATCAAAAGGTTTTTCAACGTAGTCCTCTATTCTCCACATTAGCATCTCTGGTGATGCATTGAGTTTGAATCTACCAATCATCCTGTTTCCTTCCATGCATAGCGGCCTGTCGCTGTCTAAGTGCCTCTGCTAGTCCACCAGCGATGCTACCACTGCTATCTCTCGCGCTCTCCATGGTGCTACCTCCACTACCACTGTACCCACTGTCCCGCCCAGAGTCACCGTTGACAGCCTTTCTAGCAGCAGGACGTTTGGCAGGCGGAGCCGGAGGCTTGGGCTTGCCGTTCGCTGGGCGGGCAGGTGGCGCTGGAGGTGGAGGCGGAGCGGCAGCACGTTGGACAACTTCCTCAAGGTACGCAGAAGGTGCCCAACCGGAAGCGGACTTGTCAAGACGGGATGCTAACCACCAACCTGTCACATGTTCGTTAGTACGTCAATTCATCCGTAGATCAGGGTGTACGCACCATTGCCCTCCTTCTGTGTGACCAGGATGATCTCGTCTTTCCCGAGACTCAGCTCTCCAGCACTCTGACCTGCAAAGTCATACAGCGCCTTGTACCGAGGCTCTTTTGGTTGAGCTGGCGCCGGCGGCGGCGGAGGAGGCGGAGGGGGCGTGCGCGATGAACCGGCTGACGCGGTACGCGCGTGAGAGCCCATGCCATTTGACAAGGCAGCGACCGGTGCGGGAACGGGTCTTGCTTGCGACACTTCTGGCTGAGGTACAGCTCTCGGTTGCGCAGCGGCAGGCGTGGGCACAGCTCTCGGTTGTGCTGGACGAGAGGCAAGCTTTGAGGGACCTCCACCAGGGCCACCGGGCCGCAACAGCTTACCCTTTGTGATGGGCTTTGCAGCGATCTGCTTGCCTTTTGGTGTGGGTTTAGAGACGGAGTTGGGTGGCTCTCCTGGCCCAGTGTGGATGGTGCCACTTTTGTACAGGTCGTCTCTCGGCACTGCGGGATCTTTGACGACCTTGACTTGGGCCGGCTTGCCAGGCTTCTTATTGTACTGAATCCTACTTCGTGTCAGCAGCTTTCAGATGCAAATGAACTGTTTTACTTACGTCTCGCCTATCTGAAGTGTCAGTGAGCCCCGCAATACGTTCGTCAGCTGAGTGAAGAACTCGGTCTTAAAAACGCAGTTCACGAGTGGATCAGGCTCAGTGGGTGACCCAGCACCGATCGAGAACCAGTCGTCCTTGAGTGTAGAACAACTAATCATCTTAATAGCGCCCACAGGTATTGTCCTCTCGGCCTGAATCTGAACTTGGCGATTCACCATGACCTGCTTGACGAGGTAGACGTTCTTCTTCGTGAGGATCAGCGAGCGAGCTTCTGGTTTACTCGATCGACCAAGTTTCGAGACAAGCACCTCAGCTCTACATGAGAATGGTACCTCCTCATTCGAGGCTATACCAATGGCACCAGCAATGACCTCACCAGGGCCACCTTTGTTGCCAATACCGAGATAGTCGCCCATGAATCTTCGGGAACCAATCAAACTATACCTCCTGCGCTCTTTACGGCCCTGGAGGATCTTGTGCCCTTGGTCTCGCCATTCGATGAATTCTTTGCCTCCGTTGAGCTTTCGCCAGAACCGCTGGATCCGTACTGCACACTCTGTTCGGTATCGCAGGTAGTTTCTCCATGCACGTTGAATGCGAATAGCCATATTATGCCAGTATTTGTCGCGCATTGTCTCCAAGGCGAACAGCGTCTCAGGAGTCTTGATGAACACCTTTGTTGTACCGATCTGGAATTCCTCCGCTGGAATGTTGGTATCCTTCAAGATCTGTTTCGCTCCAGTCTCGTAATCCCCAGTCCAAGTGTACTCTCCGGCATATGAACACTTGGGTGACAACAAGAAGAATCGTTCCACAAACTTATCGAAGGTTTGACGTGATGCGAATCCGGCTCTTCGAATGCGCACGTTCTCTTGAAGACCCAAGTACTTGACCTGATGAAGTACGTTGGCATCGGTGAATTCCTTGGGCGACTTGTTTTCGTTGGGCTTGATGGTACGGATGTAGGACGGACGAGCTTGCATCAGAGTCGTTACCAGATCGTTCGCAGAGGCCTTGATCTTATCTCCAGCCGTCGGGGGTCGCCGCCTGTTGTCCTGGTCTACCTGGTTCGGGAAGAGCGTATGTACAAAAGTGTTGCTACTTTGTCCGAGCAGGTTTAGCAGATCCTTTAGTAACTGGTCTTTGTTCTTGTCGGTCATGCCATCAATCGCGTACGAGACTTCACCAGCATAGTGCTTGATGACGAACTGACCCTGACGAGGCGTGAAGTTGGGGTTCGACGATAGAGCGTTTAGTCTCTGGACGAAAGTTTGATCCGCGGCGGTTGGGTCGGCGTGGGCTGTTGCACAGGCGTCGTTCAGGGCAGCAAAGACACCCGGTGGTCGCTTCTCCTCGATCAAATCGCACACAATCTTGTTATCGAAATACTTGATGGGCGTCCACTTGATCTGCTCGCGCTCGTACTCTTCTTGCTCCGCCTTGAGCGTCAATTGGATGAAGATCTGTTGTAGTTTCTCGTTGACGTAGTTGATGCACAATTGCTCGAAGCTGTTCTTTTCGAAGATCTCGAAACCGTAAATGTCCAAAATACCAATGGACTGGGCGGTCGCGCCTCGGGCCTTCAAGGAAACATTGACGCGTTCCACGATCCAGTCGAAAAGGTTGAAGTAGATTCCCTTTGAAAGCGCGTCTCGGACTGCGCCCGCTTGCGCGCAGTTTAGAGGTACGTCATATACGGAACCTCGTCGTCCTCCTCGACTCGTCTCCATAACACGAATGGTAAGGGCTTTGTTGACATGCGCCGAGTCTACTTCGAGGAGATAAGCCACGAAATCCACGACTGACTGGTCCACAATGGCTGCGTTGCCAGAATCATCCTCGCGGAACGTTACGTTTCCTAGCCACAGAATTGCTGCAAGCATTCGGAAGATGTTGTCCTGCTCAGCTTGTGGTAGTCCAATGACCTTCATGGCATTCAGCGTGTCGTCGAACTCGGCATGATCGTCGATTCCTGGGACGTCGAAGCATTTAGATTTACTCGTGTATAGGTAGGCTTGCGGTTGTTGTAGGCCGAAGATTTCTGTTCGTGTCAGCACAGGTTAAGGGTCTACGGAGGTGTAGTATACCTCTGTATTGCGAGGATGCGGCTTTTGTGAACTGGTAGAAGATATGGAAGTTGCGCTCGTTTGTGATCTGACCAGTCACCCGCGTCTTCTCAAGTAGGTAGTTGTTGATGTTTGCTCCCACTGGCTCTCCTTGCGCATTGAAGTGGATCTCGAGGTATTTTCCGAACCGCGACGAGTTGTTGTTTCTCAGCGTCTTTGCGTTTCCGAAGGATTCGAGTAAAGGGTTGGTGGCCAGCACCATGTCCTTGATCTCCTGGATAGACGAGTTGCTGCCTCCTGAGACGTTGGCGATGTACTGCATAAGTCGCTTCGCTGCTTCTGTCTTTCCTGCTCCTGATTCGCCAGAAATGATGACACATTGATTCTCCTTGTATGCATTCATATTGTAGTAGGCGGACTCGGCGATTGCGAAGACGTGAGGGGGCACCTGTCTCTTGTTAGCTCTGCGTGCCGGTGGAGGGATAAACACCGCACCTCCAGCCTGTTCTTGCCCTTGTAGCTCTCCAGCACTTGGTCGGTGTATATGCCCACTGCCACTTGTCAGCATCCCTCTCGCAAGCGCAAATCCTCGTACGTACAGTCGCGGAACGGGTTGACCGAGACCAACACATGTCCAATGTATGTCTGCGCCCATAGTCAGTCGTTGTCCTTGTCTATCGCTGCACATGTGTGCGACGCGGGGCTGGCGCAAGCGGGTCAACGCACGTATATCTCGCCATTTTCGAAGCGCTTCTTCAGGTTCTCATTGATAGCCTCATTGGAGACCTTGCTAATCAAGGTGAGATCCGACACACCGACTTCCTTCTTCTTGGTGGTCTCGAAGACGGCCTTGGTTGCGAACTGGGCCTTTGGCTGGGCGCCTCCTCCGGCTTTGCGCGCGGCGCGGTTGGTTTTCCCCTACACAAGGAATGTGTGAGCAGATGTTCCTCCATCCACGTCCTTGTGCCTCTTACCATGATTGGTGCCCGACGTCGAGCTGGGACCTGTAGCTTAAGCCGGCCAGTGGGGTAGTAAGTGTGCTGCTGAGTCCAGGGTGCAGCAAATATTCAAACAATAGACGGCAAAGCCAGGTAGGGTCGCTATGGAAAGAGCAGCCGCTCCAAGGTGTGGGTGTCTAAGGATGGCTGCAATGCGGTTGTTGAAGACAGGCCAACGTCAGAGCCCTGGACGTGGAATCGGGCGCTTCGGAATGGGTACTCGCCCCATTCCGCACAGCCACAGTTATTCCAGTACGAAGTACGCGTACGCTGCCGCGGCGGCTGGAATATCTTCGTAATCTTGCCTCGCCTCCATTGCCTGCCGTCCTGCACAGGTGAGACTGTTATTCATCATGGTTGCATTGCTTCCACCATCACCGCCGACGCTCACGTTGTTGCACCATTCAATCACCGTCGCTGTGACCCATCCAGGCTCGGCCCAGCTTCCGCATCAATCACTGTCGCAGCAGAGGCGCAACACAAGGACAGCCCGAGTCTGCCGCGTACGCTTAATTTCTCGTGACGTGTCACAGTTTTAGGCATTAGGCACCAATATCTTGGTGTTCGTGACCAGATGCGTGTTCAGTCGTATTCAAGGTTATCGCTACGAGGAAACGCCCCAACATGCAATCCGTCATGAATGAGTGTTCGAACGAAAGCGAACAGCACTGCTCAATAGCACAGACGCCATGGAAATGCCCAGTGCCTAATAAAAATATCCCAAATCCCACAAACGCCATCGCTTTAGCCTTGAAGCTGGTCATTCAATCATCATGAGAAAACATCACCACCAAAACGCCCTACACTCGCCCAGTCCAAACGCTTTGACTCTTCCAGCTGGGGACCCCCCCAAGAGTACACTTTGGGATCCACGAGGCAGCCTAATCCTCCCTCTTGACACCACTCCGAGACCACAGCGTAGATGAATTCGATCTTTGCGCGGAGGAGATTGCCCTCTGTAAGCTCTTTGTAACTGTCCTCCTTGTCGGCTGAGCCGTATAGAAGCTGTTGCAATGAGCCTCGCAGATGTGCTCGAGCTTTAACGTGCTTCCATGGCACATTTCCAGTCTCTTCGAGGAGAGACGTTGCATCAAGTGGTAGGCAAAGGAAATGTCCATAGCCTGCGTCCGACGATAGAACGAGCTTCGTATGATCAGGAAAGTTGAACTGGGGAACTGTTAGATGAGCTTTGGTGTACGTATCAGAAGCACTTACTTGGAAGGAGCCATCGTCGAAACCCCAGATCCCGACGTTACCCAGACGTTGATAAAATCGAACAAAGTTTACGCGGGGATCTTTCCGGAGCGGCTTTTCTTCGTCACCAAACGTCGCACACATGTACTTTCCAAACTTGTGCCAAACCGTCCGAATCTCCTCAACTCGCCGCGATTCTAGTACCTCAATCTGCGATAGTCCTCGATCCTTCTTGACGGTCGTGTAGTAATTCAGTGCAACGCTTTTGGCGAGCTCTCGGTTGCCGCCAGCCTTCCGTAGATGGTTGTATCCGTCTGTCGCAAAAGCGATGGTAACGGGGTACTGCTCCTCTGCTGAGAGGAGAGTTCCAATACTACCATCATTGAGGACGTATCCAACTCCATACCTGCGGCTGTAGTCTACCCATTTTGCAACAAATGGCAACTGCGGTGGTTGGTCTCTTCTCGACTTCGTAGGCTTCTTGTCGAGAGCTCGTTCAAGATTATCTCGAAACGTCATCAAGCGCGCCAAAACAGTCACCGGATCGGTGGCAGGCATGTCATTGCTGACGGTTCGATAACGAGCGGCACTTTTCGTCGACGTTGCTTGAGCCGCTGATTCCGGCTTGTCGCTCCCTCCAACGCTCGTCTTAGTGACTCGCAAAGGTGGGAGATCAGGCAGTCCGTTTGATGTCGTCTTTGGTGCCTCTTTTGCGCTCTCCTTCGCTGTCCGTGCTCGCGTGGAAGTTCTTGCCTCTCGAGGGACGCGTAGGGGAGCTGGCGCGGAAGCCGTATTCGCAGTGACACGGCCGGGGTTCGAGATCTTGCGCGCTGCCCTTAATCGGGTCGGCTGTTTGTCCAGTATTCTGTGCGCAGGCTCAGGCTCCTGTACCGGCTCCACATTTTCTTTTAATGTCTGCATCGGCTGTTGCTCTCGTCTCGGAGCCCTAACCACACGACTCTTTGTCCGCTCGTTTCCGGTAGTCTCTGAGAGAGCTTGACTTTCTAGTGACGATTCTTTCTCTTCCGATATTTCACTGAGTCCTCCTGTTGGCAGATGCGGCCATTGCACACGGGCGGGGAAAGGTACATATACGACGTCTTTGGAGAAGGGTATGTTTGGCTGTTTGCCGGCTTCGATCTCCTTTTGGCAGTCCCTCGCGACAGTCTTGTTCGTCCTGCGGCCGTAGGTTCCGAATGCTTTTCCTTGTTCGTACTCGCCGACGGACGAGGACTTGCAAAGCTGCCACCATTCCTCGGTATATCCACGTCTGATTGTCGATGCTGTCGGCGGACGGTTCTTCGGCCACTTCGGTACGCGGGAGGTGCATCCACTGTCTAGTTCCAACGGAATGTAGCCCAGTTTGAAGAATGGGTGCGCTACGATCTGATCAGGAGTCGGTCGCTCGTCTTCGTGCACCAACAATAACGAAACAATGTCGCGGAGGTCGTCGGTGATTTCATTCGCAAACCTGGCCAGGTCTGGCCAAGTGTATTCGCGAGCCTTCAACTTCCGGTAAATGTCCTCGCGCTTGGCGGCATGGAATGGCGCTCTTCCGACCGCCAGTGTGTACATCATGATTCCAATAGCCCATAGGTCAACCTTCTCGTCATGACCCTTGCCTGTCTTCTCCAAGACCTCTGGGGCAAGGTAGTTGGGTGTGCCGCACATGGTTGTCCGACGGATCGCCCCATAGTCGCTCTGTGACACCAATAGTGCTGCAAGACCAAAGTCGCCGACTTTGACGTTCATGTCGCGATCGAGGAAGAGGTTGCCTGTCTTGAGATCGCGGTGTACGATGTTCCGTTGGTGTAGGTATTTGATTGCGCCGCATGTTTGGATCATGAATCGCCTAATCTCAGGCATGGTGAAATATTTGCGCTTCTTGATCGCATCGGCAAGGGAACCGTTTTCGCATAGCTCCAAGACAACATAGGTGCTTGATTCGAAAGAGAAGGCGCGGAAGAACTCGACGATGTTGGGATGGGATAGCTTCGAGTGGATCTGTAATTCAGTAACAAACTGAGGCGCGTCAGCAAACATGCGTCCACCGTGTCCAGGCTCTCTGTACCTTTTGCGCCAGCTTGGGAGGCTCCATTTTGGATTTGACAATCTTCAGAGCGACTGTAGAGCTGCCGAGGTGCTCATGACCCAGCAGCTTTGCGCGATGGCAGATAGCGAAGCCGCCTTTGCCGAGCTGTGCTCCCGTTTCATATTGGAGTCCCTCTGGATCCTGGACCACGGCCGGCGGGGCATCTGCGTGTATCGACGAGGCAGACATTGGCGTGGTGGTGGTAGTTGGAGAGATGATGGAATCGAGAACAAGGTCGCAGAGTGTTGATGGCATGTAAACAAGGGCCCGCTTAGCGTCGTTGCTAGGGCTGTCGGCCAATCGGTGCCCGGCACTGTCCGCTCGATGCACGCGGCCTTGCACAAACTTGCACTTGAGATGGTGCAGGACAAACCAAGACTGTTTTGAATTAGTACTGTGAGCTATCCATGCATCTCGTCATGCGTCCCGCGTTGTCGCTGAGATGCTAGTCCCACTCTCAAAAGCCATTGCCGTCGGTGGATCTCCGGCCAGCCCAAGGCAGCATCGATTTGAACATCGAACCTGCAGCTATGTTCAACACCACAGTTGATCTAACCACGAACCGCTATCCAGCTCTCTACATGTGTCTGTTCGTATGAGGCTTGAAATGAAAACCGCTCGCCGGCCAATTACCTCCATACCTCCCCACAGCCTTCCGAAACGCTCTCGTAACCGATTATGTCTCTCACGCTCAAAGTTACGTCGCTGTTCGTCCGGACTCTCGCAAAGCCCGTAGCAGTACGTTCGTTAGCTTGTGACATGTGTAGCCTTAGCTGATGTCGTCCAGAACGCCATCAAACGCAATGCCCACGAACACGACCGATTTCGTCGAATATGCGTCAAATTCGCCCAAGGCCTGCATCGCGTGGATATGCGCATGCGCCTCGGCCTGCTGCAGGACCCCGCTGTCATAGACAGGCAAATCAAGAAAGAAGTCGCCCTAGCAGAGGCTGCGCGCAAAAAAGCAGCGGCACCCACGGTCCTCACCGAAGAGGAAATGAAGGCAGAGGAAGCTCTCACAGAGAAGGAACGAGATGCGATCAAGAAAAAGGCTGAGGAGAGGATCAAGCCACGCATACGACCTCTGTCCGAACAAAAGGCCATCGAGATGGGTGCCAACTTCGCTGCTGAAACCTTCATATTCGCCGTCGGTATTGCTGTGATTCTTGTTGAGCAATGGCGGCAAAGAAGAAAGGCCAAGAATGCCAGAGACGATATAAGGGAAGATTTGGAGGAGGTGCAGGCTGAGCTCAAGGCGGTCAGGGCAGAGTTTGAGGAGTTCAAAGCGAAACATCCAGAGCCAGTGTCGTCAAAGCTACTGGGGTTTTGGAAGGGTACTGGGAAGAAGGAAGACGACAAGATTGAAGCTGTGAGCACCGAGGCGAAGCCGGCGCCCGTCGAGACTCAAGGCGATGCTGCGCAAACTGCGAATGGGACGCCTACAACGCAACCAACCCAGCATAAGGATTTAGGAATGTATACCCGGGAAGCGTAAATACTCGCAGGCTGGCGATCCTGTACCTCTCAGGTCGAGCTTAGAGGCCCGTCTTGTTGTGGTTTATCAAAAACTTCGTTACGATCATCTCCTCTCATGATACCCTTTCGGCATAATAGACGCATTTGGTTCACAGTCTCCTCCCCGGTTTGTGATTCATGACGCATATTGTGGATGTATCCAGTTGCTTCTAGGATATTGTTGTCTACATCGATGTATCAAGCATGTATCAGATCCAAAAGATACACCTCAAATAGTCTTCTTTCTTTAATAAGCTGTCTCTATTATGGCCCGTTCATGCCCCCTTAGTCACTCTATCTGTCTCTGTCTACGTGCCTTCCACAACAACATGCTCAGCTCCACAGCATCAGGGACGATTACATATACAACGAGCGCACATATCTCTCACCTCTCACCTCTGACGACCACGCGAACTGATTTGTTTTAACGTCACGTTTATAGCGATCGATACCGGAACCATTTCATGCCTGTGCTCATCATGAACGTTTCACACTATACCAACAAGACCAAACCTATCTTAAATGAGAAGGAGCGCTCCGCAGTTCCAAACATGTATCCACCAGACATTACTACCCATCCTGTCAACGTTGTCGTCTCCGCCCAATTAGACGGTGCAAACGACCACTATTCCCGTATGACCAACAGCTCAATAGGCCACACTCAGCACAGTACCCAGCACTACCTTCAGCAACAACACCAGGCCCGGATCCCGCTTCCATCTCACCACGTAGCTTCTGTGCCGCCGCCTCGCCAATCAGCGCGTGTCGTCGTCAATGCAGTCAACGGTCTACTCCCCTACTGCACGACTGAGCCGCCACTGGACGAAGCACAGGTCATTGCTCTAAGTGACGTTGTGGGTAGTTTAAGGGAGCTTGCGATACTAGCTCTGAGTGCTGCATCTGGTGCGGCCGGCTGTATGAAGAAACTGGAAGGCGCAGTGGGTCCGCGGGCAGCAGGAAACATTGCAGAGTTCTTTGCCGACGAATGGGAAATTGAAGGTTGAGAGAATTCATAGATCCGGACTGGGGAGTGAGACAGTGGTTGGCTCATGTATCATGGAATTGACAGTTAGGGGGTGGTCGGGTGGAGTGACGAAAGCCGTCACTGGGAATCAGGAGGAAGATGTGAGCTGCTGGCGATGAGTTGTCTCATTGGTTGTCAAGGACAACCTTTACACTCGCTACCAAATCATCTATCATATTTGCAGAGTATACAAAAGCCTCGCTCCCGCCCGCCTCTTCCATGTCTCTCACCTTCAAGTCAACTCACCGATAGTATTCAAATAACATACCTGACCAGTAATGACAAGAGATCAGCGTACTTTTGACATCGAAATTCCGGACACTGTTGTGCGTGAAGTTCAAAGGAGAACCGGAGGACGAGCGTGGAGTGGTAGCCCATCCCTCACAGCCGCGTTAGCCAAAGCTAAGCGCGTCTTTGCTCCCGAATGCCTCCTACCAGTGCGCCACATCACGAACATCATGTGGTAGTGACATTGGCAAAGTTCCGAAGTGTTCCCGCGAGTAAAGAAGTAGCAGCTGGCTGGTATGAGCATTCTGAGAGAGGGTTCTTAACGGATGCGGCAGATTCAGTACAAGAGCTACGTGAATCTGCGGAACACCTACCTTGACTACGACTGGGTTCTATCAAGGGTGAATCATGCCAATCTTGATGACCTGACTAGGAGAAATGTGCGAAAGTAACATGTTAGACCAATCAATCGCTCGTTTTTACTCATACAACGTAACACTACAGTATAAATATCAGTAGTTCTTCAATTAGTTTCTCTAAGCTTTGATATGTGCCTTCGTCTGCTAATGATTGAGGCATTGTATCGCTAACTCAAATCATCGATGGAAGAGACAGCATACTTCGCTACCCGAAAGTACTAAGGAATCTTTTTGCATAACTTGACCAATATTATTTACTGCAACGACAAGGTATCATACATTATCCACTACATCGTCCACGGACACAGACTTTTCTAGCTCTGCTGTTAGGCCAGCCGCTCCCCCCAACGTTTCCTCAACTTATCCCAGATGACATTGGGAAGCGAGGTCCCAAAGATATTGCGAAGACTTTAAGTAATCTACGAAGAACCAAAGCTGGTGATGTTGATTCCAATACCAGCCAACGCCGGCCCGGCATCCAGATCCAGGTTGATCGTGTTACTCTTGATCGCGTCTTCATAGTACGTAAGATGCTGGTCACCCTTCACGCTCGAGTTGCCCACGATCTCAAGCGGTAAGATACCGTTCTTGTATTTGCCCTGGATTAAGCCCAGAATAGTGAGCTGTTCGACGTGGCTTTGTAGAGGGAATTTGTTCTCCCCAGGCGTGAGGAAGACGTTCGGAATGAGAGCATAGCCAATCGGAGTGCCATCGACGGCGAGGTTCATGGTGATGTTGCCCAGATCGAGTGTCATGACAGATGGGTTGGGAATGGTGACGTTGGCAATAAGGTTGGAGCCATCTGACAAAATCTCGTCTTTACCGGAGAGAAGGCGAACGTCGATTATGTTAAGCCCGGAGAGTTTATTTAGTCCTGTAAACATGTTAAGACTATGGTCCAACATAGGTCCAAGGGGCGCATACCTTTCATCGTAACGACCTTGTTATAATCGACATCCATAGATGGTAGACCAGAGAGGTGAATAGTCGTCTTGCCATCAAGGTGGATTTCAAATGTCTCGGCATCCAGAACAGCTCGAGTGTAGTTTGAAAATGCATCTGCGTTCGCGAACTTGACGTCTTGATCAACAGTAATATGCGTTTCTGCTTCAGATTTGGCCTCCGGTATCTCAACGTAAAGGAAAGGCTCCTGGCCTTCGAGCGACAAACCGGCACGGAAGGCATCGATCTTAGGGTGGTAACTACTATCACTCCTGATGACAGTATCGATCTTTAAATGTATCCCATCTGCTTGCGGATCCGTCACCTCTTGGGAGGTAACTTCGATTGTCGAGGAATTGATCTCATGCTGTGCCTTCTTTGGCACACCGACGAATATGATTGGCAAAACAATGACCAAAACAATGATCACGAGTACCAGACAATCTGAAGTAGTGTAAACAGAAAGTAAGTTGATGGCACTAGAACACACTTACCACACCACCAAAATTTTCTGCAGTGGTTCTTCATACGTCCTTTTGCGCCTGGCGTTGGCCCCGGTGGATACAGCTTGTTGATGACGCCGCCTTTCTTCTGGGGTGTAGTATACACATCGTCTGCCCGTGCCTGTCCGGCGGTCTTGTCGTCCATACTGAAGGCCTTCTGTTAGGTGTAAAGATGATGTAGAGTAAAGCTCGACAAATCTGGAATCCACTGGTTGATGGCGATTCAGGCCACCTGTGGACTCTCCAGGGGACCCGCAGGGCTTAACACGCGAAATAAGTAGAAGGATGAAGAGACACCAAGAATAACCCAAACAAGGTATAAAGGCGGAGGACGCGGGGAAAGCACACGTTGAAGTCGTCAAAAGCTGGGGAATGCTCAGAAGATTTGGCACATGCACACAAAAACACCGAGACCCCTCTTGCGCCAGATTATCATTGGCGATGGGCCGACAGCACGACGGGTGTCAAAAGGGTGCGATCAGTGACAGGCGTCTTAGCGATGGTCATCAAGGCGACGGGTTGCCCGAGACCGTAGCCTGTTATGGAGATTGCCCGAAATACCCACCACCTATCTGGTAAGGATACGAAGCCGAGGCAATCCAACCAACGAAGGATCATCTTGCACATGCGCGACGAATCTTTGGAGCAGTGGCCAAGTTGTGTAACCTATGGCGCCGAAAAAGCCGTGAGTGGTCAGTTCAGCAAGCAAAGCCAAGCTACTTAGCCATGTCGAACTATTTAGATTGGCTGTGTCGACTACAGCCAAAGGCGAAAAGGCGTTAAGTGGAATGACACGCGATCATATCGAATAACCCTGGCTAGTCCGGATAGCGACAGATCATTGCTTACCCCAGACGGTAGCGCGGGCCCTGTACCTTTTGGGGTTAGAAGTGGACAAAACCCCCTGAAGCGGCGACCAATGCAAGCGATTGCTTGTCGGTCGTCGATCTGTATTCGGGATCCGCGCCTCGTTGTTGCAGACGAAGAAACAGTCCAAAGGAGCAGGTGGACAGCGGTATATTGCATCAAGTAACGGAATCACTGGCCCCGCCCCTTCACATGAAAAACGAGATCCGAGACGAATTGCACAAGGCCGAACCGACCCAGGACCTAACAAGCGGCTTCTTCTCCACGACTCGACATACATGGAACGATAAGGGGTGCCAGTGAATGATTTTCTCGCCCACGATCGTGCGTTGCCGTAGGATCCGACGCTTCAGCGATACGCGGTTCATGCCGTCTACAAATCCTTGGGTGTCTGTCACGCAGGGCCAGACCAGCCCAGCCCACATTCCCGTGTGCCGTAAGTGGCGTTAACCGTTGTTAGAGCCTCTTGGGTCTATGGCGGGAGATTCAACCGTTTTGGTGGCCTAAAATATGCCTGGACCAGATGTGCTCGATGCTTGACTATGGCGCTGGTTGAGAAATGTTAGTAGTGGTAGATTGGGCGAGGAGATGCAGTCGAAAGAAGAGTCCGGGGGATCGCCTGCCCTGGCATATGCCAAGGGAACGCCATGTAGTGGGTCACTGCCGCTGCGGGCAGCCTGCGAGTCGTGGCTGGCGAGGTGAGCGACAACACATTTTTTTCTACCAGCGCAAGGCTCAACAGCACAAGATGGCGCAATCAGACGAGGAAGATGATTACATGAATATGGTATTCGACGATGCGCCAAAAGGACCAAAGTTTGAGACTTCCCTACAGCGCGCAGCGCGCAAGCGCAAAGAGGTGCGTCTGGTGGCATTGCTGGATTTTGCTACACTAACACGTTGACAGGGTGAAGCTAGAGCGCGACAGAAGACCAAGGCCGAAAAACAAGAAGAAGTCGAAGCTGCACGAGAAGCTGCCCTCGCTACTGCCCTGCCCGAGACCAATAAGGGATTCAAGATGATGGCCAAATTTGGTTTCAAGCAAGGCGATGCTTTGGGCAAGTCCGAAGACGCACGCAAAGAGCCTATCCAAGTCAATCCTAAAGACGACAGAGGAGGTATCGGTCTGGAGTCGGAGAAGAAGCGCAAGTTCAGGGAGCAGTTCGAGGAAGCAGACCGACTAGCAAAGCGCGCAAAAGAAGAGGAGGGTGACTATCTCGAGATATTGCGCCAGGAACAGAAGGAGAAGAAGGCAGAACGGGACCTAGATAACGCGCAAAGGACAGCCGAGCGCTTGTCCGACAAGAACGCTGAAGCGGAAGGCGCGGCAGACCCAAGTGAGAAACCACTGAAGGACATCAATGTCCTCTGGCGTGTTCGTGCGCGTCGCAGGATGGAGGGCAAGCGCGACAAGCAACAACGCCGAGAACTGAACAACAGTATTTCGTCACGATTACCCACATTAGCCGCCGAAGACGATGACGACGATTCAAAGATAGCGCAAGGTCGAGACCTTGCGCCATTCTACACTACTCTTGAGAACGAGCTTGAAGATGAGGACCCACAGTTGGCAGAATTTGAGGCCTTGCCTGTAGCGGAGCGCTTGCAAAAGGTTCTGGTGTTTCTGCGTGAAGAATACCGATACTGTCTCTACTGTGGCTACGAATACCCAGACGCAGAAATGGAAGGATGCCCTGGAGTTACTGAAGAGGACCATGACTGAAAGATGAAAGCCTTCATTATGCGAAGAAATCTTAGTAAAGGAAGCTACAAACACGACTACTACTCGCCCTAGGGCCCAGAGTAGGCGGGAACGCGTATTGGTACGTCTGGAAATCGCGCAATCTTGTGACTGCTATACTCGGAGTCGCTTTTACAGTATGACAATGACTTCCGGAACATGCAACTGTCAAGGACCTCTAGTCCAAGCAAGAAACCTAATTTCTTCACGTCCACAATATGTAGTCTAATATTAGACAAAGGTGAGGCGCCTTAAAGGTGCATTCTGGGCCTCAGCCGCAATAGCTCTCAGTCAATGAATTGCTGAGCATGCGAAGATGAATGAGGATTCTTGAGAATACTCAAGTAGAGATAACGTGCAAGCAAAATACAAACAAGCTATGGTATTCCAATTTCCAGAACATCGGCATTCGTGCGACAGTGGTGCGCTGGTATCCAGTTTCTCAAGAGAGAGCAGGCTGTGAGCTTTGACCAAATCACCAAGTCCCGTGCTCACGCGATTCGCGATTCGTCGCGCCTTCCCCTAGCCCTTGCACATCAACAACATCGAACAGATAGAGTAGTCATCACGCCAGACAACAAACGAAGATGGAGCATCAGAAATGTTATATATATGAACCGCCAGAGTCAGAAGAGCGATCGCCAAAGCGACAGCGAACCGGCAAATTCGATCCACAAGCGCAGCTACCAGAACGGCTAGCCACGTATCGGGAGTTGTGGGCACAACAAGAAGAGCGCATTCAAGTGAGCCGCATTTCCGCATATCTAAAACAGCTGCTAATGTTGTTAGAGTACTTTGGAGGGCGCAGATAGTGCCACCCAAGAAAAGATTGTTAACTTCGTCTCGGCTTCCAGTGCATCACCAGATGAGCCCAAATTTGCCATACCGACAGCGCTCATCGTGGCTGGTCCCAGTATTGCATCCCATGGCCCCTTTTTCCAACGCTTGGGACGCGGTATCAGAGACGTCAACTGCGCCTATGTCGTGTTAACGTCTGGTGAATGTCCGAATTTGAAGACGTTCCTCAAAACGCTCATTAAGAAGGTCACTTCACGCGTGGAAGATGATGAGGAGGATGACCTAGGTCGGCCCGCCGCATCTTCGAAGCATGGGCCTAAGTTGCTCAACTACGATCTCGGTCATGTTCAAGAATGGAACAGACAGAGCCGCGCTTCTAGCATTGTTGTTGCTCTACAAGATAGCGAAGCTTTCGACGTTGGACTACTCGTCGATGTAGTTGACCTGCTTCAGTAAGTTTGTTGTGTTTGGTGATGGTATACGCTGACTTCTATAGCTCATGGCTCGACCGCCTGCCTTTTGTCCTACTCTTCGGCATTGCGACTTCAGCAGAGAGCTTCGAGGAGCGCCTAGCAGGGAACTCACTCCGCTACCTTGACGGCCAGAAGTTCGACGTTACCCAATCTGATGAAATCATTGAAAAGTTATTCCGCGCAACTATCGCTGGCACAGATGCTCGACTTCACGTTGGCGCCAATCTCTGCCGCCGTATGCTGGATCGGCAAAAGGATCATGTTCAGAACACACAGGATTTCTGCGATGGGCTGAAGTACGCCTACATGTCACACTTCTATGCTAGTGTGCCTAGTTTCTTTCTCAAGAATGATGTTGCTTTCGAACAAGTATCAGCGGATGCGTTTGAGGCTGTCCGTACTTTGCCCTCGTTCCGTCATTGGGTCGAAAACATGCTAGAGGGTGGTCAAGTGCAAGACGTACGAGGGATACTTGAAGAGAACAAACTTCTATTCGCTCAGATCACAAAACATCTGCAATCTGGACAACGCTCCATGACTACACTGAGTCATGCTGCAAAAGTATTGGCAAACATCCGGGAGTGTCTTCAGATGTCACCCAGCGTCCGTCTGTCCTCTATTTGGACTCGAGCAGCTGCTGGTGAACTCATTGGATCTCCTCTAATCCGCGAAACGATGCTGTCTATCAAGAAGATTCCATCCGATAAGTTGGTACTTCTACTATCATCACTACGAAATCTTGAGGGGAACTATTTCACCCTGGATACCGCTTCCGCTCAAGAAAAACTCGAAAGTTTGATGAAGAATGCCGATGCGCCTCTCCGAACACAACACGATGTTCGCAATGATAGTGTACGGACCACTGTCGTAGCACAAAAAGTACTTCTCAGTAAGCACAAAGCTGCACTGTCAGAACAAGACAAGGCGTATTCGGAATTGGTTACACAACTCCACGACCAGCTCGAGACTTACTTTACCTCTTCACTAATCGACCCAAAAACATTGGTTCTTTCAGAAATCTTCGTGTTTGACCTAAAGTCACCACACACAGAAGTCTTCCAACCCAGGCCTCGCTTTGCGGTTGAGCGCGCACTTGCTTCTCCTCATGACTATCTGAGCTGTGACTGCTGTAGTGGTGTGGACGGAAACCCTGCAGCTCTTTCTGCCACCCAACCTGCGACAGCAATCGTATATCAGATGTACCTTGAGTCCGGTACATTGATCAACGTCACAGATCTGTGGTCGGCGTTCAATGCCATTGCAGGAGATGGAACGGAGGAGAACGAGCCCAAGACCATGTAAGTCCAGGTTTATATACCACAAACAAAGTGTTCTAACAGGTTACAGGGCACTCTTCCAGCGAGCGCTAGCTGAGCTCAGGCATCTCGGCCTAGTAAAACCCAGTCGAAAGAAGACGGATCACATTTCGAAGATCATGTGGAAAGGCCTCTAGACAAGACTACCAATCTCCGTTGCACTACCGTACATATCATACATACTCTTCATTCAGACCTTTTTTAGGCCTTCTTTGGCTGTGGCGCAGTATCACAAAGTGTTCCGCAACTCTTACATGTTCTCTTCTCCGTATCCGCCTTGAAAGCATTCACCGCGTCCTTGATCTGCGTGCCGAGATCCGTACAATGAAATGCTGCTTCGTACACTTTGTCGCCACAATTCTGACAATACCACCTCAGCCTATCCAAGCTACCCTCCGGCCTCTTTTGCTCCAGCACCACACCTACCGTGTCTTTGAAGCGCACAGGATTATGCGGAGTATTTGGGGGCAGCAAAAACATGTCTCCTTCATTTATATGTATGTCTTTGAACTGCTGACCCGGCGGTAACGAGGTATCGACAACTTTGAGGAGCATGGAACCTTTGTGTTGGTAGAACCATTCTGCAGTTTCGTTGATGTGGTAGTCGGTTCGTTCGTTAGGCCCGCCGACTATCATTACGGTTACGGGGTCGGAGTAGACGCAATAATTGTTGATTGGGGGTTTGAGCATATGGGAGTTTTCGGAGACCCTGGAATGATGGGTTAGCTGTGTTGCTTCGTGTTGAATGGAGCGGTTGAGAATCTGTATGGAAGTCGGTGTATGTACCATTTTGGTATGTTCAACGGTGGGCCTAGTTCTCGATGTGATTGCGATTGCGAGAAGTGGCGTTGTGAGAGTGCTGCGGGAGTACGCGATAGCGGTCGCGAGGCGCTTTGCGCGAGTCTAATGGCTGGTCGTAATGATCGCATTGTGTTCATGGTGGTGTGTTGCACATATGACGTTCGAACTTCACTTTGTGAAGTCTGTGCGATAAATTTGCCTGACGTGCTTTGAAATGTACAAAGTCATCGATGTAATCAATCAAGGGTCCAAACACAAGTGGGGAGCTTCTCGCCCCCGCGTAGCCGCGGCTCGTGCGTGCATGCGTCGATCACTGGTGCGACGCGTGCCATCACATGTCGCTCCTAGACCCGCCTATCTTGAGACACAAGTCCATCGTCCATATCTCCTTCCTCCCAGTAACAAACTATCTCAACCAGTTCCAATAGCAAAGCACGGCAGAAAGATGGACCATTCGCACATGGATCACGGCGGCCACATGGGCCACGACATGCCTGGCATGGGCGGCGACGGGCCCAAGTGCAACATGAACGTACGGTTGCACCCTTCTCTCCTCGTATCGATACTCAAACGAACATACGCTGACTTTCGATGATGTGATAGATGTTGTTTACGTGGGACACGACCGACCTCTGCATTGTCTTCCCCTCGTGGCATATCTCGGGCACCGGCTCACTCATCTTTTCGCTACTCGCCGTAGTCCTGCTCACAGCTGGGTACGAAGCTATCCGAGAAATATCAAGGCGCTATGAGGCGTACTCAAAGGGTATCATGGAGGGACCCAGAGGTGAGTGCACTTCTTCTATACAAGTACCACCGGGGTAGTGGAAAGACTCTAAGAGGCAGGCGTGGAAGTAGGAGATTAGGGAGGTCTCTTTTCTTCACTTCAATCACCACCTTGAGGAACACTCGCTGAGTAAACTTTACGCGTACAAAGACGACGCAGATGAATCTAGCTCATTACTTGGCCCAGGGAGAAACGGAGGCGTTGGGCGTAGTGCCGAGCAGCAGATGAAGATCATCAAGGCTGTCTTGTATGCTGTACAGGTCTTCTATTCGTTCTTCATCATGTAAGTGTTTTCGCAATGAAGGCGGAGTCGGGGGCTGTGGCTGATATGCATAGGCTGCTTTTCATGACGTACAACGGTTGGATTATGCTTGCTGTCGCAGTGGGTGCATTCGTCGGATACCTGATGTTCAGCCAGTCTTCGTCCACCAAGTCGGTCGCCTGTCACTAAGGGGATCGGTAACGGAAAACATCTGACATGAGGCTGTTCAGAGGACTGGAGAGTAGTACTAGATCAGGAAGGCAAACAAATGGTTAAACAGTGTTTTGCTTGCCCTCGGTCGGAGCTACGGATTTGCATGTCCTGAAATATCCGGGCCTAGGGTCCTGCAGCGCCGACGGGTCGGACCCGCTATACTCGCAAGCTTGGCTTTGGATACCCCAGATATAGAGTAAACAGGCAGTTCGCAATACATTGTTGACACAGTTGGAGTTCTGTTCGGTGTCCAGGGTCGACCTCGCGCGAGAACGTACCGAGCCAGGTCTGGCGGCGTCGGCAACAGCTACCCCGAAACGTTTTGTACGCAC